ACCTGTCACACACATGCTCACAGATGTGCATGGACCCTCAGCCCTGCCTCCACATGGAGAGCTGTAGGCAGGGTGCTGTTGCCTGGGGTCAGCACCCCAGCTGGTTTCCGGAGTCTCCTCTGCCAGCCTCAGTGCCCCATGACCCTCGGCGCTTCCTCCTGTGCCCTTGTCTGCTCCTCAGGAGTGACCCTCGCTTCTGGGGACTCTGCAGAGTTGAAGAGGAATGTAGAGGTCATGGCTGAGAGGACTCAGTCAGGAGGCTCTGGCCTCCCCACCCCGTCCCAGACCCATCCTGGCCCACCTCCCCCATCACCCCTGCCTCTCTGCCCTGTCTCAGGGTGCTGCCAGCCCCTCTGTGTCCACTCCGGGGTCCATACTGGACCCCCAGAATCATCGGCAAGGGCCCTTGGCCACCAGGTCTGTTCCCTAGCATTCAGCAAGCACCTACTACACGCAGATATTCTGTTAGGTACTTGACAGTTACAGCCCATCACGTTAATTACAGACCGGTTTTATAGCCAAGGAAATGGAGACTCAGAGGTCAAGGCACCTGCCCAAGGCCACACAGCTGGTGGAATGGGAGGCAGCACTCAAATTCAGACTGTGTGACTCCAGAGCCCAGTCCCCTGCCCGGCCCTCCCGGTCCACCTCCCACACAGCCAGACCCTGAGGAAGACCTGTAGTGTCTCCACTGGAGGCCTGTGTCATTCTTCCCTACCCCTAGAATCCCTCCAGAACCCCAAGTCCCAGGCCAATGCCCCCCCACCCCCTTTGTCCTCCCTGAGTCCTGGGTCCTGCTCAGTGTGGCTGGCTTTCCCCACCCCCCACAAGCAGTCCCATTCCCACACAGCCCTCAGCTCCACAGACACCGCCACTACCACCGCACCCCGCTTGTTCCTGATCCAGCTTGTTTCTCCTTGAATCCCAACTCCCCCTTTGGCTCCAAGACCTGGAAACTCTGGGCACCTCCCTCCAGGGACCCCCATCACTTAATCAGTGGTGGGCATGGCTTCGGGAGGGGGGGGCATTTTTTAGGAGAACCTCTCCCCTGAGCTCAAGCCTCCGTTTCTCTCTGCTTCCCAGTTAAGTGCCCACAGATTCCCCACAGGTGTTGAATCAGCTCCAGAGGCCCCACCCCAACCCCCACCAGCAGGAAGAAAGACTACTGACTGACCGAGTTGGGCCATCCAGCCTGGTACATGAGGTCCCCTCGGCGTAGCCCCACTCCTGACCCCTACTCGCCTCCTCTACCCCCTGCCCCTAGCAGGTACCGTTTCTGGGCTTCCTCCATGAGATCCAGCCTTTTGGAAAACGCTCTCTCTTCCTTCTTAGTCCAAATGGTCCCTCAAGTCCCTGCTGGTGATGCTCCCCAACCCCTGCCAGTTTCCTGCCCCTGACCATGCTGAACCAGGGAGGCCACCCTGGTGTACCAACCCCCACCTGCTCTGTGTGAACACGGGAGCCTCCCCCCTCCCCCCAGCATGAGGCCACAGCAGGTGCCGGACCCTGCTTACTCTGAGTCTGGTGACAGCTCCGAGATGCTGTGGGATGTGGCAGAGCGAGGTGTGGAGGGCCCCAGGGCAGAGGCAGTGGCAGAAGGTGTGGCAGTGGTGTGGGGGCCCGAGGGCGTGCTTGAGGACTGCATGGAGGAGGAGAGGGCTGAGGAGTTGAAGGAGGCGAGGATGGAGGAGAGGATGTCCAGCTGCTCTGTGGACGGGCCATGGCTGGGCCCAGAGGCCGGTTCCTCCCTCCCTCTCAGCAGCTGTGGGGGTGGTCCGAGACCTTCCTGGGAGGGGTGCTGACTAGGCACCTGGTCCAGCTGCTCCCGTGAGGATCTCCTGGACAGAGAGTCCAGGGGCCTGGGTGGCAAGAGAGGGTCCCTTGAGAGTTGCCGCTGGGGAGACAAGGGCAGAGGCGGGGGCTGTAGCTCAAGGTCCCGGGCACCACGGGGCGCGGGCAGTGTGCTCAGCCACTCTCGGGGTGCTCCTCGGTCCAGCGCATCCCGAGACCCGAAGCGGCCGGCCATGGCACGAGGGTAGTCCCGAGGCGGCTGCCTCCGAGGCAGGGTGCTGCCCCTGTCCCTGAGCTCCAGGCCACCCGGCGGGGGCGGCGGGGGCGTGGCATCCAGGCGTTCCTGGGAACCGGGTCGGCTCAGGGCACACAGGGCGGGGGCCGGGGCCTCCTCCAGCCGCTCCCGGCTCAGCTGCCGCCGGAGGAGCAGATCCAGCTGTTCCCGCGAGGAGTAGCGGCTGGCGGGCTGGGAAAGGCTGCCCGTGCCGCCGCCTGCGTAGATGCGTCCGTAGGAGGCGGCCGGCACGGCACGGTGGCCCAGCGTGGCTGCGCGACACCAGGACAGCTCAGGGATGCCTCGGGCCTGTGGAACCAGTGGGTACTGCAGCCGGTTCTTCAGGATGCCTGGGAGAGGGACAGGGGACTGTGTGGGGTGCGGAGGGCCGGGGCAGCCCAAGGAGGGATAGAGGCAGCGAGACTGGGGCTGAGTGAGGGTGAGGAGCCTCAGAGAGCCAGGCAGGGCAGCTCCCATGGCCAAGGGTTGGGACTGGAACCCCCACCCCAAGGGATCAGAAGCAGGCAGTCCATATCTCCCAGCAACGCAGGCTGAAGTCAGAGGGGCCAATCCCCTGTGGCCCCTGTGACACAGGGCTTCCATCCCTTAAAACAGGCTTGGGACAGAAACCTTCCAGATGAGAGCAGAGGCTCTGGGACCTTTGGGCAGCAACTCCCAAGACTCTCACAGTGCAGGCTAAGGTACCCAGTGGGCAAAAACCTTCCAGGTCAGGCACTGCCTGAGGAGACCTGTGCAGCAGGAGAGAGGAGCAGAAGCCCCCCGCCACCCATCTGAGCCAGAGCCCCTCAGGACCCCCTGAAACAGTCTGGTTTAACCCACTGCCGTTGAGGCAGTTCTGACGCACCACACCCCTAGAGGGCAATGGGCAACTGCCCCAGGCTGCCCGTCTTTCTCTGGCAGAGCAGCTGGTGAGGGCAGACTGCTGACTGCAGCTGAGCGCTTAACCTCTGTGCCACCAGGGGTCCCTGCAGGACCGTCTAGGACACAGGAGGACTGACCGCCCCTGCGGGTTTCCAAGACTGAGTCTTCATGGGAGTAGAAAGCCTTGTCATTCTCCCACAGAGCGGCTGGTGGCTGGTGGCTTCCAACTGCTGACAGAGTGTCACCACCACACCGGCAGGGGCCTAGAGTTGAGGCCCAGGAGGCAAAAACGCCCTGCATCAAGGCCCACCTTTCCTCTGTCGCTGGGCCCGGCCCAGGGTGGTCTCGTCCCCGCTGGTCAGGGCCAGGTCTGGCTGGTGGTTGTTGGCGGCATCCTTGCTAGTGTCCAGCCCCAGGCGCCTCTCAGAGCCCCAGGTCTGCAGGGCACAGGGGGCTGCCTCACACTCCCCCAGTGCTGGCCAGTAGGACAGGAGGTCATTGCCATCCACATCTGTGGAGTCCAAGCAGGTTACAGGAGCCTCTGGGTTGACCCCAGTGACCCGTGACCCAGACTCAGTGACACCCCCCCCCATTGACCCTGAAAGTCCTGGCTATTCTCACTGAGCAGAAAGAGGCATGAGAGGTATCTCCTGAGAGAGTCCTCGAACCAGCAGGGAGGGGTTACTAAGAAGCCTACCCCCCCACCTCTGGGCTGCAGGTGGAAAGAAAGTAGGGATGGGGGACCTGGTGACCCTAACCTGGGTTAGGAAGACCAGGCTGAATCCATTAGGCCAAGGGGATAGGGGGAAGACAGTCACTGTGTGCCATCCCCGACTCTAGCCGGCAGAGTGCCAACGACGGGCGGGGAAAAGGTTCGTGGAGGTCCCAACAGTGAACCCAGAATTGGGGCCCCATTGGTTCCCAATGAGTCAAGCCCAAATGCCCTAGTCCCTGAGTCACACCTAAGTCCACAACAGGTGGTCTGTTGGTCACCTCTGTAGTCAGAGGGCCTGTGCCCACCCCCATCACCTTTGGGGTGGGTGAGGAGTCTCTCACTCTGGGCGGCCCGGCGGAGTGGACGCTGGAAACGCCCCCGTGTCCGCCCATTGTCCTCACTCTCCGAAGACGGGATGGACAGACTCCTCTCCTCCTCCAAGGATAGGTCACTGTCTGAGTCGGAGTCTACACCTGGAGTCAGGGAGGTGAGAAGGTCTAGCAGTGGTGCGGAGAGGCTGGGGGGAAGGATCTTGGGAGAACGTACAGTAAAAGACTTGGGGCTGGGCACTTGGGCATGTGGGGGGTGGAGCAGGACTGGCAAGGACTGGATCCTGGGGGACCCAGACTAATTGGGTGGTTAGCTCCTGGGACAGTGGCCCAAAGGCTCCCCCGCAGCCCTCTTCCCTGGTTCAGGCCCCCACCTCCGCCAGCGTCTCGGTGGAACATGGCCACATCCAGGTCAGTTGGGCCTGTGTGAGCCTGGAGGCTGTGGTCAGTGTGGTCAGCAGCTGAGCCATGTCGAGCCAGGACATTGTCCCTGGAAACACAGGAGCCATTAGGGAGGGCTCTGCGAAGGCTGGGGTATCTGCAGGATGCACCCCTGGGGTATAGACAGCAGGAGGGGCCCTTGTCCTGACATCTCAGCCATACAGCTGAGATGGTGGCAACATCAGATCAAAAGCCAGGGCTGGGGCCACAGTGGCCTAGAGCCCTGGCGGCAGTGACCACGATGCTTCTCCCAGCGCACCCGGAAGCCCCCCACCCTGCTCAGAACTGAGTATTTGGCCATTCGGGTTTGTTTGTCCCAAACCTGGGGGACCCCCCAGCAAAGACAGCAGCCTCTCCTACCCACACACCTGCTCCATCCACCTCCTGGGTTCCGGGCCTCAGCAAATACCAGTTCCACCCCCAGAGGCCTGCAATGCCTCCCTCTCCACCCCACTGTCCCGGTGTCTAGTCCCCGCTGGCCAGAGAGACAGCTTCTCCCCTCTCCACCCAGCCCTAGCCCCTCAAGAGGAGGTCCACCTGAGGTAGCTGCGGCCCCGCTGGCTGTCCTGGTCCTGGGTGCGGCCAGAGCGGGCACTGCTCACTGAGGAGACAGTGGAGGCGCCCAGTGTGATGCGGATGAGGCCGCTCTCCTCAAAGAGGGCCGTGTTGTTGTAGGCCCCGGGCCCCTGGGGGAGTGGGTGGGGATGGGGTCAAGTGTGAGCCAGTCCCCAAAGTCCTGGAGCCCTGGCCTCCCAGCCCGCCCTTCCCCTGGGCCCCCAGCCCTGGGAGCCCCTCACCGTCCCAGGTGCCGGTCTCGCCTCCTCGGGCGGCGCTGCCTTCCTGCCCAGGCAGGCTGACGTCCAGGCGGCCCGAGCATCTGAATTCAGGACACAGAAGAGCAGCAGCGCTGCCAGGCCCTGTGGGCCAGCAAGGGTCAGTGAGGGGTCAGCAACGGGTCAGGGAAGGCCCCAGGGAAGGTCGCTGGGGGCCAGTTAGGAGTCGTATAAGTCACTGGGGGTCAACAGGAAACCCAGGGAGCTCAGCCAAGGAGGCCAGGGTAGTGTGAGGGAGTGGCCCAAGTCAGGGGAAGCCAATGTTTTGAACTGGATTGTGTCCCACCCCATGCCCCCAACCACAGAATGTATTGAAATCCTAATCCCTGTGTCCATCAATCAGGAGTCCTGGTGGCCCAGCAGGTAAAGCATTGGGCTGCTAACTACAAGGTTGACAGTTCAAACCTGTCAGCTGCACCTCATGAGAAAGAGGAGGCTGTCTGGCTCCAGGAAGGTTTCCAGTCTTGGAAGCCCTATGGAGCAGCTCCGCTCTGTCCTGCAGGGACTCTATAGTGTATGGTGTGTGGGTTGTTGGTTGTTTTATACCTGTGGGTACAGTTCCACTTAGGGGGGGGTGTCTTTGTTATGTTAACGAGTCCACTCCAGTTAGGATGTGTTTTAAGCCTGGGGACTTTTGAGATACAGAGAGATCAGACACAGAGGGGAGCAGGGGGGTGGAGCAGGGGGGAGCACAAGCAGCAGGTGGAGGTGGCCCAGGAAAAGAGGAACTCGGAGGCAGGGCAGAGCCAGGATGTCCCCCAGAACAGACAGAAGAGCCAGTGTCCTCAACTCAGACTTCTTTCTACCTCCTGCACTGCGAGAAAACAAACCTCTGTTTGTGGAAATCACCCCCTTGGCCTCGTGGTTCAGTTAGAAATCACCAGCCGCTCCACAAGAGCAAGAAGAAGCTTTCTACTCTTGTACAGATTTAGTCTAGGAAACCCACAGGGGAAGTTCTGCCCTGTCCGACGGGGCCCCCAGGAGTTGGCATCTACTCGATGGCAGCTTGGTTTTTAATCTCTGTCCCAGCAGTAGTAGAGGACCAGGACCGGGCAGGGAGGAGCAGTAATCGGCCAGTCGCCTGAGTGCTCCTGAAGTTTGCCAATCCAAGGTCAGCCCCCAGCCCAAGCTCACTGCCCGGCAGGACTGCCCCCTGCAGGCTCTGCACTATGTGAGTTACCTGGAGGCCGCAGAGTCCAGCGTGGAGGTAGTGGAAGGCCAGGATGCTATGGTTGACCGCCAGGAAGCCAAAGAGCCAGGAGGCACTGACCAGCAGAAGAAGCAGGAAAGAGCTGCGGAGGGTTCTGCTGTGGAGACATGAGAGGACACACAGGGCTCAAACCACAGGGGGCATGGACGATGGGAGCTCACATGGGAACCTGAGGTCTCAGGGGACACAAGGTCACATGAGGGTCAGGCCAAGCACACAGAGGGGTGGAGGCCCATGACAGCAGCTGCAACATGAGGGCCAGGGCGCAGAGTAAGCCCCCCCCACCCCCCAGGATGCTGGAGCACTGGGTGGGGGGAGCTGAGGAGGAGAACGGTGTGCAAGCAGGTGTGGGCCAGAGTATGCAGGGTGTCAGAGAGGGAGCACCGGCCTGCACCTGCTGCCCTCCTGAAGGTCCCCCTGCCCCACCACCAGTGACTCACAGCACAGAGGTCCTTTTGGCTTCCCTTGGCCCCTGGGAGCATGCGGCACGGGCAGCGAGGAGAAGCATGGTCCCGTTCATCTGCACAGAGAGAGAGCCAGTGAGGAAGCCGCACTGGGAACTCCACGGATCAGACACAGAGCTGCAGAGGGGCCAGGGGTACAGGAGGGTGGGCAGGAGGGACAGAGATGCTGAGAGATGGGGATGGGGAGTCAGGGTCATATACAAGGGAAAGTGTCCCTGTTTCTGTCCCCATGTCCCCCTCTCCATGCCCGTTGAGTGGTTACTAAGTGACCAGAAAACAGAAATAGAGGCTGATTGCAGCAAGCCTGTAGGTTGCCAGCTGGCTACTCTCAGTTCAGGGTGCCCCATACGTGAGGGGACACCACCACTCCAGAGTCACCCGAGAGACCCTGGAGCGTGTGCGTGTGTGCGCGACAAGCACGGGCACTCACCAGGATCACCAGGATGATGGGGCCGGCAAAGCTCCAGATGAGGGGCTCATGGACAGAGATCCAGCAGAAATCGGGATTGCCGTAGCCCTCGGGGTCCAAGCCAACGGCAAGGCCTGGTGGGAGGGGCAGGGTGTGTGCCAAAGGGGCATGTGCTCTAAGCTGCCGGCACTCCTGGGGGCGGGGCTCAGCTTGGGGTCAGGTGAGGTGGGTTCCCCCAGGAGATGGCATGAGGGGGGTGGTCAAGTGGGGGTGGAGGGACCGGGCCAGGGTTAGGAGAGAGGGAGGTTGGGCAGGGCCCTCACCCAGCAGCACGGCCGGCACACCCCAGCCCAGGGCGTGGTAGAAGCGCATGGCGCCGCGGTCCACGTTGCGGGGCTCCACCTGCATGCGGTAGAGGTGCAGCCCCTGCACCAAGAGCCATGCAAACGTGCTGAGGAAGAAGTAGTGCAGGAGAATGGCGACCGCAGTGCACACCA